ATGAAAAGTTTTGGCAATCTTGTCGTGAATGGGTTGGACCGAACCAAGCAATTACCGTTGACTGGAATACTCTTTCCCCAAACCAATTGATAAGTGAGACAACAATGATTACAAAATAGTACTCGAATAGTAAAGCTATCAATTCTTCTCTACTTGCCATGTACACACCTGAAGAGTTTAGTCGTATTTACAATTGTTGCAAGTCGCAAAAGAGACTTTGGGATATCTTACAAACTAATTCATATTTACACCTTCTGTTAAAACGCTCAAACCTCAAAGACTCATGATTGAGTTCGAAACCTTCAATGAAAGAATAGTGAGACCTTTGATGATTTATGCGACATGAGCTGACATTGTAGAATTCCAGTTCAATTTAGCGTGAAAAACATCACCAAATCCAAAAAGTTGTGGGAAAAAATTTTGAGGATACTTGCCGATCGTTACCAACCAAAAGTTACTGCTATTGAGGAGCGCTCAAGATGTGACAACCTCACAAGCTGACACTTGGGTTGGGACTCCAAACTTCATGAAGGCCACAAAGGAATTTAGAAAAAGAAGACAAAAAGATATTGCTTTTAGTAGTGCTACCATAGAGTTGAAGAGGATCTGATTGAGGAATTCTCGGAGATAGATTACAAGATTACGAGTTGCTTTGTTAAAACACTGTTGACAAAAATTTTTTAAAAAGAATCATTAATCCTTTTGGAATCTACTTAATACCCATAAATCTAAAGGCAAAGATAAACTTAAAATTAATTCTATAGGCCAAGAAGGAGGAAGAAGTAACAGGAACTCTGAAAGAGTCTCACTGCTCTCATGAATGCCAAGGATTTGGCCACCTTTGCTTCAGAATGCCCCACTCGTTTGAAGAAGAAGAAAGGCCCTCACCATCACTTGGGATGATTGAATCAGAATCTGATGAAGATGAAAGTGACAACGAAGATCAAGCGAAAGACATTAAACAATTCCTTGCCTTTCATGGCAACTTCCGAAATGCAAGGACGAACAGAGTATCGAGAGAGCCGGTTGAGAATGCCACTGTATGAGAATCTTCGGCGAATGATATAAGAAGGAGTATCTGCAAAGGCCGATTGAGAATATCATTGATGATGAATCCTCGGGGAGTGAAGATGAAGAACTTGAGCAAGCTTATGAAAAGTTGTATAAGGAATCTCTTAACTTATCCAAATTGAATGACAAACTCACTACGAAACTCAAAGCATGTGAAAGTGAGAATGTCAAATTAAATAAAGAGATTTCCGAGGCTAGGAATGATGCCCTTAAGATTTCTAATGATCGACAAGTTATTTGTGCAAAACTCTTAACTTGTGAGACAGAGAGGAATGAGCTACAACAAATCTATGCAACATATGAAAAAAAAAATTAAAACTCTTGAGATGTCTCAAATTGCTTTAGAAGAACTAATGATCAAAAAAGAGGAAGATCTCAAGTGTGCTATGACAACCATTGATCTATGGAACAAAGGATCAAAGACTTTGGACAATATCATTGGTTCTCAACAAATTTGTTCTGACAAGAGTGGCATTGGCTTTGGTGGTAAGAAAGAGCAAAAACAAAGTGCATCCACATCTCATGATACAAGAACTCAAGGGCAGGGGGAGCACAAGGTTTAACAAGTGGAAAGACTTCTCAATCTTCCTAAAGTTGGTAAGGTCAAAGAAAAGAAGGTAAACCCTGTACACCCTGTGTTTATTTGTCATCATTGTGGTATGCATGGTCATATTCGCCCTTACTGTTATAAGTTGCATGGGAAAGTGTCTCATAGAGATGGAAGAAATTCCAACATCTCGCGGGGTAGGAGACACTTCATTGGTAGTAAAGAGATTAAGGGTCATATTAGACCTCGTTATTTTGATTTGCTTGGGACCAATCATGAACAGAGGTTTTGTTTGTCTAGTCCTAGGAATAGGAATAGGAATAAGAAGTTGAAAACCAAGTCGAGACGGGTTCCCATTGAAAGGGAAGGGAACCACAACGTCAAGACACCACCCAAGAACCGCAATTCTCACAACTTTGTTCATATTAAAGCGGTTTGGGTGAGAAAACTTGACTTGTGTTAATTTGTTTATTCGTTTTAGATTTCTATGTGTTTTTTTCTGTTTGAGTCACTTAATGTGCGCATGTTTGCTTTCTGTCTTACTTTGTTTAGAAAAAGAAAAAAAAATAATAAAAAAAAAAAAAACACAAAAAGATTTTTTTAGTATGGTTTTGCAAGCTTAAAATTTTTGAGTGGTCCTTGGTGCATATTGGAATTGATAAGAATATCCATTACATGTTAATTTGTGTGTACTTTCTGTGGTCATTTCTCATTTTGGAGTGTGTGTTTTTTGATTAGTATGTCTCATTCTGTACACACTCTTGGATTAGCAAATTTTGGAGTCTTCCGCCTTAGTGATTATTTTTTTCTATGGACTTCTGGCATTGTATCTTTTGCTTTTCTAGAGGAATTGACCTATACTAGAATATCATAGGTGATGTTGAGTCTCTTAACCACCTTCCATCTTTTTGCATCTCCACGGCTTTCCCCTCTATTCTTTGTAGTCCAGGCATGAGGAAAATGCTACATCAGAGTCACCAACCAAGCCATCCTTATTATATCCATACTTCTCTGATTCCGTTTCCATACTCTTGAGCGTGTCAGCCGCCAATGAGTGTGCAAAAGAAAGAAAAGATGTGCAAAAGAAAAAAAAAATGTGCAAAAGAAAGAAAAAAAAAAAAAAAAGAAAGAAAAAAAAATGATGTGCAAAAGAAAGAAAAGAAAAAGATGTAAAAAAAAAAAAAAAAATTCATTGATTGAGGGCGAGCCTCCGCCTTTACTCACCAAATACCTCTTGATTCCTAGTGGTTTGACTTTCCTTTGTTGTGCTGAAATTCTCTTATCGGAGGTCCAACTTTCAGATCACTACTAGGATTGAATCTAGTGTTTGTCAAACTCCAAGAGTCACACACACACTTTTATCATAGGATCTATGTTTTTCACATAATGCATCACTTTCTTTCATGAGGACTCTTTTATAGACTGTGCACATTGTGTTTTCAAGTAATTGTGTTTCTTGGATAATCTTGTGTGTTCTAATATTATTTTTGTCGTTTTCTTCTTGTTCATTGTTTTTAGTGAGGGGGAATTTGGTTTATCTTAGCAAGAGTTTGTTAGCATGGACACTTTGATTTGTTTGGTAAGGAAGATTGGCTTTAGTTGTTTAGCATGTTGCTATGCACTATTTGCTTATTATTTCGTTCTTGCATGCCCCTGATATTTACATCATCGTATCATTGCTTGTGTGGTTTATGATCTTGCTTTTGTTGTTTGAGCTTCCTTTGTCAATTCGTGACAAAAGGGGGGAGAGTTGTTTTTCATGTGTCTTAGGATTTCATGTATTCATGTCATGTGTTTTCATCTATCCATGCTACATGTTCTCAAAATCTCCAAGTCGCATCTATTCATGTTTTCCATCTCATATTTCAAGATAATCTTGTCATGTATTTATTGCTTTTTCATATTCTCTTTTGGGACTAATAGTTGTTTTGGAGATAGTGGCACTAATAGCTGTTTTGCAGATCATGACCTCGAGAAAGAAATTTGCTTTTGTTGACTGTAATGGGTTGGAGTTTTTAGGATTTTATTTGTTAGATGTGTTTTGTCACGGCATTGCCAATGGGGGCGATTGTTAGGTTTTTATTCTTGGCAATCCCATTTGACAAAACTCCTTTCTGTTGTACTTATTTTCGCACTTTTTATTTCAGTAAAGCTATGAGTTTTTAGATGCGAATCCAACCTGAATTGTGCCTTGCAGATAAGTTTGTGATGTTAATGTTTTCAAGATTATCACTTCGCTGATTATGACAGGGATCAAAAAACTTGAAAGAGATGAATGTACGCTCGAGCGAAGAGTGCATGGCTCGAGCGAAGCCACTTATGGAAGGAGTGCTCGCTCGAGCGAAGGCTGCGTCTGGCAAAAAACCTGAAAGAGATGAATGAATGCTTGAGCGAAGGGTGCATGGCTCGAGCGAAGCCACTTATGGAAAACACGCGTTTTTGGTTCCTCGCCCGAGCGAGAGAGTCTTCGCTCGAGCGAGTTTCGCAGTCCCAGATTTCTATAAGTATCTGTTTTAGTCCAAAACTATGATTACTTCTCCAAATCTTCTTTTGGATATTAAGGTTTATCCCTGGAGATATTTTGCTAGTTTTTTTTGATGTTTTGATTGAGTATTCAACTCATGGTTTAAAGAGTATACATCAAAGAATTATTTGTTTGTTCTACACAAAAGAGAGAGTTGTTCTTCGGTGGATTCTGAAGAATTCGAGCCTGAAACTTTGGTGGATTCCGAAGTGGCTCATCGTCAAGACAATTCCGAGGTGAAGACGGGTTGGAAGAGGCACATAGAGGTTGGTTCAATTCGGGCGTGGATTCGCTTGATAATTGAGAGTATACCTGTGTAATTCCTTTATATCTTATTAGTAGATTGTTTTGTGACTGTTACCCGTGGTTTTTTTTTTATCACAATTGAAAGTGTCCAATTGTGATTTTTCCTCGTAAAATCGTTGTGTCGATTTGTCTTGATTATTTGATTGGGATTGTTATTTACTGCTTAAATTGATACATAATCACAAATCAACATCTAGGGGATTTCTATATTTTTCACTATGGATGGTGTTGAAAATTGTTCATTACCAACAGAAGAAACAAGGCTGGCACCAGTCTAAATTAAGAGTCATTTCATCAAGAAACCCCTTCAAGAGTAACCTCTAGTACCGAAAACACAAATTCCATGAAGTGGATTGTGCAAAATAATAGTGTCGTGTAAAGTAACAGTTAAGAGAGCAAATCACTTTCTCATCCATTCCCTTGTAGCTTCAAGATAATAACAATTTGCAATAGGGTCATTATTCTACTCTTTTAGTTTGCAACAGTCAAGAAACAGAGATGAGCTGGATCAAGAAGATCCAATAACAAAACAAGTAGAATACACCACAATACCATGATTTTGATCCACCAACCAAGACCACTGTGCTGAGGGCCATACACCTTTGTCCGGCAGCACCAAAACCAGCTGCAGCTAAAGCATTTAATGTAGCATCCACATTTGCATCAGGCATGACAACTCCATGATTTTTGGCTCCCATATTGGACTGAATAGGTTGAGTGAGCTTGTCAATTGTTTCTATGTCATGTATTGCTTGCTATAAAAGCAATCATATTTGCTTGGGAGAAAAAGTTGCATGTTTGTTAAACAGATAATTGGTGCTAACCTGAACACGCTTTCCTTTGGCTGATGCTCTTGAATATATATGCATCCCAGCCTAAGGAGAGAGGAGGGAGAGAGTGGGGGGGAGCAAGTCAGAATTTAACCAATACACAAAGTAATACCCACCAAAGTTGCAGTAAGTTCAAAACAAGATGAGAGAATGAAATGATTTGATCATGCATATGGAAAAGTCGTCTTTCTAATAACATACCATAGAAATACACTGGCTAAACAGAAGCTAGCATACGTTCTGTCATACATTAACTATTCACTAACTTGAGCAATGAGATGCAGAAGAACATTTACATCTTTATTTATTTATTCTTCCTTTAATTTAAGGGTAGGCATGGGCTAGATGCATTTCTACTGTTATGGGCTGCGAACCCACAATAGCAGTCACATAACTTGACAAAGAAATTGTAATCAACTATCAACGACTAGTGAATTGTGTTGGGAAATGAACAAAAAAGAATAAAAATGGAGGTAGTACTTACTGTATTTGAACCAACAAATGAAATAGCTCTGATATCGTCATCGTCACAAATAGCATTAACAATATCCTGCCTCAAATTTAAGTAAAAAGGGAATTAAAAGTCAATTAATCAAGCGTTAAAAAAAAATCCATTCGTTTATGAAATAGAGCTAAAGTGGAGAAGATGTCAAATTATGCATAAAGCATCTGTCAAATTTCATTGGTAACAAGCCACAAGCTTCAAAAATTTAAAAGTGACGAGCAATAAAATATCTCAAATTAATCCTTATGTGGGCAAATGAAAGCTTGTCTCATAGTGATGGTTGAAATTAGAGCATACATTAGTGCCATGAACAATATTCAAAACACCATCAGGTAAACCAGCCTCCTTTGCCAGCTCTGCAAGCATAATAGAAGCACCTGGAGAAAATAGAAACGAGCAATAATAAAAGAATTCTCTTTGCCATACATCAGAAACTTAATGTTGTTTGCACATCATTTGACTTGACACTGACAACAAGTAACATGAATTAAAAGTCAGACATAGATGAGAATGGACGACGACAGGCCTATATGCTAAGAATGAAGACTAAAGAAGTCACATAATTTACAGGATTGCAAAAGGTATAAATTACAAAAGGCTGACGGCTTTTAAGAGACCTTTCTTGTGACAGTCATGAGCAAATTTTCAATACACTATCCTTTTTGATGCCACAAGTGAGAATTTATTGGCAGTCAAAAACTTGAGAATCAGACAGACCTCAAGGCTCTGTAAGAAATTAGGTATATATTTACTAATACAAAGCAAATCCAGCATAAACATTCTCAAAATGTAAAGGACTAAGAGCATAAACATTCTCAAAATGTAAAGCACTAAGACAAGGTACCAACTAGATTATTAGTAGTGGTTGATATTCAATTTCAGAGATTGAAGTTGCAGAGGGGATCAATATGCAACACTGACATGGTATAGCTTATCCATGTAAAAATAACTAAAACTGTAATCATTTCCATCCTTCAAGGAAGTGTTGACGGCAGGAATGTGCACAAACAACACCAAATTTGTTTCATACAGTAAACTTGGCCAGAGACGATGTGAGCACAAATGGAAAAACAGGTTGTTCTATCACTCCAAGGAAGCCTAAATTTTTTATCCAGTCATGAGCTTTCTATCAGTTAAGGCATGGCTTTTGCTGTTTACTAGATTCGAGGTCTCAACACAAACAATTGAAGGAACTCTACTTGAGCTAAATCTCTTAGGGTTTAGTAGCAAATAACCTAAACAGCCTATCACCAGCATTACAAGGGTTTTGGTTCCTTGAAATGAATCTCTTAAAGTTACCCTCCAGTATACCTGACAACAGATGACTGTGATAAAGACCATCTAAGGCTGCAGCATGAAAGCCACCTAGTAAACACAAACTGCTTCCAGAAAATTATTTCAAATATTTCTGAACTCAGAATGGACAAAACCACCCAAGATAAAGATAAAGATAGCATATGCGACAATTTTCCTGCATCCACATTATTAATGTCTTTTTTATGTCTGAATCTTGCAATCATGAATAAGTAATGAGCCACTACGATTAGTTTTGCGACCAACTTCAAGGTTAAACACTCTTGTATGTATCAACAACCTCAAAAGTAGTTGTGATCCCAAAATCCTCATCTCCAATTGCTTCGCATACCCCTGCATGTTCTCATGCTTTAGATGTAACCTCTTCAGGGCTGGTCGAAAAACTATCCTGGATAAATGTTGTCTATGCCAAAAAAAACAAATATTCTTGCTCAAGAAACTGACTCATCACAGCACTATAAGGGAAGTGACGACGCTATAAGATTTCATAAATCAGATTAGCATGAAGAAATAACAATTACCTGGATCTTTCTCTGATGGCTTTAGAATGAAGGTATTCCCACATGTAGTTGCAACGGGAAACATCTGTAGAAAACCACAAAACAAATCAAATATTTTGAAAAATGAGCACATATATGTTTCCTTCCTTTTGCATGTATATATTAGGTATAGAGAATCTAACAAGTACCATAAAACCGCTACTGATCATATGGACAATCCTTGTTTGGGTTTGGGTTTGGCTTTCCTCAGTTTTCCTTTATTTAGGAGGAAACTCCTTCCAACTTGGACGTGTATGCGCAAAAAAGATCGAAAATCAGTGGATCAGCTTCTCGTTCATTGTGGGGTGGCTAGGGAGTTACACAGCCTGGTGCTATCCTTGTTAGGGATTTCATGAGTTTCACTCACTCCAGATTGGTGTTGGAGCTATTTTCATGTTAGAGAGGTAGCAAAATGAGTAAGAGGAAAAGTAAGGCGTGGGACATAGTAACAATATGCTTGATATGGTGTTAGTGGGGGGAGAGAAACTGGAAGTCACTTGATGGGGCTGATCCTTTGGTGCGTATTAGAGTATATTTTTAAGTTCTTGTTTAGTTGGTTACACATAGAGGAAAGACATCTGATGATTCTTTTTTAATTTTGTTGACTCTATGGAACCATGATTCATGAGGTCATGTGGAATATGGTTTTCTTCTTTTGTTTCCTTTTGTACTTCAATGGCACCCTCTTGGCACCTTTTTCTTACCCAAAAAAACAATACTACTTGGGGAAAAATAAAAAAAAATATAAAATAAAAAAAAAAAAGACGAAAGGGGAAAGGGGGAAAAAGGAATAAAAGAAGAGAGATTAATAACACCTTACCCACAAGGGAATCATTGCAGGGAAGTTGAAGGGACAAATCCCAGCACAAACACCAAGCGGCTCTCTGAGGCTGTAGGTATCAATTCCATTTGATACGTTGGGAGCGAACTCCCCCATTTGCAAAGTTGCCATTCCGCAAGCATGCTCCACTACCTCTGCAAGAGAAAAACCATGAATTTAAAGAGTCTAAGCCTTACCATCAAATCATCCCATATGAACAGAGCACAATAACACTAACAACCTAGCCCACGGAACACATCCCCTTGTGCATCCTTCAACGTCTTTCCTTGTTCAGTAGTAATGTTCATGGCAATCTTATCCTGAGACAAGTATGGTGGTTGTCATTAATAACATGTCATAATTTGTGTAAAGTTAATATAATTAGATTTGGAATTGCCAACACGCTTACCATATCTCTCCGAATAAGCTCTTGCAGCTTGAACATAATGCGTTGACGGGTAGTAATTGGTGTATTTCTCCAGGAGGGAAATGCTTGTTTAGCTGCAGATACTGCAGCTTTAAACTCGTCATTTGTTGTCAATGGAAGTTGAGAAACAACTTCCTGTGTTGCCTATAACCAAATTTCTTGCAATTAGATTAAAAATTAAATTCACTATTGACTGTTTACAAAATAACAAGTAGACAAGAAAGAGAAGAGGAAAAAAAAAAAAAAGGGTTGTTGAGGCAATCTAGCACTCACTGGGTTTATAACATCGATGAATTCAGATGATTGCGAATCTACAAAGCAGCCTCCAATAAGATTTGGAACCCTCTGATACCATAAGAACAAGGAGACGTTTAAGCCATTGCCACTTAAAAAAAGAATCAAACTATAATAGCAACTAGAAACAAGACAAATGAAACCAAATTCAAAAAGGCATATGCCCTAAACCTCAAGATAAAAAAAAAAAACAAAAACAAAAACTTAAATTTAAAAGAAAAAATGAAACCCTGACTTCTTGAAACAAATCTCTAGTTAACTAACTGACTAAGCAACCCAATTGAATTTCTACCCTTACCTGAGCCCACTCTTATACATCAAAATAGATCAACATAACGAATTATCAATTTATTTTCTATACTTTTTATCTCAGGTCTCGAAATTCCAGGCAACCAATCGGAAACCAATAGATAGAGAAATTATCATGCTCATTCAAATACAGCAGAGTACAATATTTGTTTCTTTTTTTTTTTCCCCCGGGAAACAAAAAATCAAAAAAATGAAACTCTTCCTTCGCGAAACAAATCTCAAGTCAACGAAGCAAACTAATTGAACTTCCAATCTTAGCTGAGTCCACTCCTCTACATCAAAATCGAACAACATAACGATTACCTTTCTTATCAGGTCTGGAAATTCTAGTCAACCAAACAGAGAGTGATCGATATTAGATAAGAGTAAAATATCATGCTCATTCAAACACTTGGAGTATAATACTTGTTCCGTTTCATTACAAAAGAAATTTATGATCTACCGGATTAAAAAAATTTCCAGGAAACAATTTTCTGACGAAACAAACACATCTTACCGGAGGGCAGCGTGGTTTCAAAGATGGTTCAGCGGCGGTTGATAGATGAGAATTGGTGAAGGCGAAGATCTGAGGACTCAAAGACCTCGCTGTAAAACACGCAGAGAGAAGGAATCAATTCAGTCAAAGGGTTTATACACAAACTGAATCGATTGTTATATATACATATATAGATAGATGGATGGATATAGATGAAGATATAGGCATAAGAATTCGATTATCTATACCTCCTCCTCGTCGAAATGTGAACCGTAACATTGTGTTTGCTCTAATGATTGTCTGGAGAATTTTGGAGGAGATAGAATAAATGGGACTGCTTCTTCTGCTTGTGAGTATATACTGGCCGAGTAATCATTTTACAAAATTTTCTCCGTCACTCTCACTCACTGACGTGTGACCTATCACATTACTGGGTCCATTTTTAATTTTTTTTATTATCTTTATTTACACTAATATTATCTTTATTTACACTAATCTATATCAAGTTTGAATAAAATATTTCGATAAACAAAAAAAAATTATTGGCCTTGTTTGGTTTGTGTTTTTCAAAAAAATTTAGGAAAAATTCCCTATAAATAAGTTTTTAAAAGTAATCAAACCAAACAAATTTTTCTAAAAAAATTTTCTAAAACTTGTTTGGTTTACAAGTTTTCCAAACAAATCTCTCTCTCATACACATCAAATCAATCACTTTTTTCAAAACTCTCTCTCAAAATAATTTTTCAAAACCTCTTTCGAAAAAAAACCAAACCAAACAAATTTTCCTACTAACATATTTCTCAAATACAAATCAAACAAACCCAATTGTTTTCTATATGATTCATTGGAATAAGTTATAATGGATTGGAATGATTGGGCTTGTTTGGTAACTATTTTATTTTTAATTTATATTTATAAAAATTTTAAAAATTGTCATAAAAATATGTTTGATAATTTTTTTGATTTATAAATGATTGTCTTAGTTTATAAATTTGAGAGAAAAACGTAAACTCAAGTTTACGTTAGTTTTTAAACAGAAATTTAAAATTTTGACTAACAATTGTTTTTTCAATTAATTTTTTTTTTCAATTATAATGTGTATGATCCCATTGTCATAAATAATAAAAAATAAATATAAATATTTTAGCCCTGAACAAACATATTTTTTAGTTTATATTCTTAAAATTTTTCAAACATTTTGTTCAAACCAAACACGTTTGTAGTTTATGTTTTTCTAAAAATAAACAAAAATCAGTTTATAAAATTTTTGTAAACATAAACCAAAAACGTAAATGTTATGAAACACTATCCGTTTGGTAACACTTACGTTTTCAGTTTTCTGTTTATATTTACAAAAATTTAAAGAATTCGATTATCTATACCTCCTCCTCGTCGAAATGTGAACCGTAACATTGTGTTTGCTCTAATGATTGTCTGGAGAATTTTGGAGGAGATAGAATAAATGGGACTGCTTCTTCTGCTTGTGAGTGTATACTGGCCGAGTAATCATTTTACAAAATTTTCTCCGTTACTCTCACTCACTGACGTGTGACCTATCACATTAGTGGGTCCATTTTTAATTTTTTTTATTATCTTTATTTACACTAATCTTTATCAAGTTTGAATAAAATATTTCAAGTTTTCTAAAAATTCTTTTTAAAAAATTCTATTTTTTTATTTTTTAAATTTTTATTGAATTTTTTTAATATTTTCAATAATTTTTTTTACTTTTTAAACATACCTAATATAAATATATTTAAAAAGTAAAAAATTCGCGAAAGAAACCTTTTAAAAATTCGCTAAACACCAAAAATGCAAAAAAAAAAAAAAATACAAGAATTCAATACATATTTTGTATTTTTATGTATTTATTAATTTTTTAAAATATTTTTTCACAAAATTTTTACTTTTTAGATACATTTAAATAAGGTGCATCTAAAAAAGTAAAAAAAAATGTTTAAAATTTTAAAAATATTCACTAAAAATAAAAAAATATGAAAACCAAAGAATTCAATTTTCAAAAAATTTAATCCAAAAAACTCAAACCAAATACACTGATTGTTTTCTATATGATTCATTGGAATAAGTTATAATGGATTGGAATGATTGGGCTTGTTTGGTAAATATTTTATTTTTAATTTTCAGTTTATATTTATAAAAATTTTAAAAATTGTCATAAAAACATATTTGATAATTTTTTTTGATTTTATAAATGGTTATCTCAATTTATAAATTTGAGAGAAAAATGTAAACTCAAGTTTACGTTAGTTTTTAAACAGAAATTTAAAATTTTGACTAACAATTTTTTTTTTTCAATTATAATGTGTAAGATCCCATTGTCATAAATAATAAAAAATAAATATAAATATTTTAGGCCTGAACAAACATATTTTTTAATTTATATTTTTAAAATTTTTCAAACATTTTGTTCAAATCAAACACGTTTGTAGTTTATGTTTTTCTAAAAATAAACAAAAATTAATTTATAAAATTTTTGTAAACATAAACTAAAAACGTAAATGTTATGAAACGTTTAGGGTTTATTTTATTTTTATTTTATAAAATGATCATTTTCTTAGAATGATAGATAATGATTTCATTTATAATGTATTTTTTAATTAATCAAACACATGATGATGAATATTTTGATGGAATAATTATTTTATTTCAGTGAACAAAACACTATGTGAGAATTTAGATTTTCTTACGTTGACTATCTCAATTTGAGAAATTGTTTAGTTTTAGTTGGTCTATTTTGAGGCTAACTTTGATTATTTGAACCATTCAATTATTTATTTTTTTAAATACAAATGTGATTTAGAGATATAAGGTGTGTTTGGTTTGTGTTTTGAGATAAATTTTCAAAAAATAATTTGGGAACAGGGTTTAATTTTTTATTTTTTATTTTTGATTTGTTTGGTTGTATAGTTTAAAAATAGTTTTGGAGTTTGAGAGTTTAGGATTATTTGATATTTTGTTATAGTTAAGTAGACGTGTGTGAGAGAAAAAATGATTGAGCAGAAGAGAGGAGAAAAAAAAATGTGATTGATTGATGTGTAGGAGAGAGAAAGTGATTTTAATATTTTTTAAAAAAAAATTTGAACCAAATAAAATTTTTAAAAAATTTCTCAAAAATTATATTTGAGATACAAACCGAACAATTTCATAGTTATCAATATTCAATCATCTAAATATTTTTGCATAAATATTCTCTACACAACAAAGATTTAAATTATCAAAGTCAACCCCACAATAAGTTTGCAAAGCTTAAATATTATGGAGCTGGCTTCCCTCCAGTCCGTGATTGGACTAGAGGATAGTGTTAGGCTAGTGGAGGCCCACCACGAGTCCCGTTTTGATAATTTGAACCGTTGAGTATGTAGAACTCATCGAGTACTATATACCTAATAAAATTACATTGATTGGATATTGATAGTCATGTAATCAAATCAGTTTTGTATCATTAAAAAAAAAATAGACTGTGAAAAAATAAACAGTTGACAGAAATCTGATCCGATAAGATATCTATCGATATCCGATTAACGTGATTTTTTACAAGCTTATAATACTCGACGAATTCTACACATTGAACAGTTCAAATTATTCAAATGGAACTGGTGGTGAGTCCCTACGGGTCCAACAGTACCCTCTAAAGAGAAGCCCAATCCAAATATTATCTCAAGTTAGATGACCAATTTAAGAGAATCCATTTTAAAACATGGCGCCATATTAAGACACATAATTTTTTTAATAAAATTGACATTGTTAAAATATTTTAAATTAAAATGATACAAAACTCATACTTTTGTGGCCAAATGTAATTAAGTTAATGTTATCCATACTCTATTTTTTAGTCTCACAAATAAAGTGTGAGCGCAAGAAAGTAAAAAGAAAGTGTGAATATTATTATCCAATAATAATCACTAAAGTGGGAGGAGGAGGGCAAGGAGGGTAATGACAAATTCCTCATTTTTTAAATATTGGAAAAAATACACATCATCATATCTTTCTAAAAAAAAAAATCAAATCAATGATTTTTTTTATATATAAATATTAATAATTAAATTCATATTTTTTTTTATTAATCTACAAATATTTTATAAAAACTATACTTATGTGTAGTTTTCCCTAAATATTTATACTCATATTAATATCTCTTCATACTCATTCATATCCCTCTTGTAGACTTTAATTCAGACACATATTAATATTATGAACTGCCTAAATTATAGATCCTGCAATAAAAGTCATTCATTCAAATTAAAAAAAATAATTTTATCTAACACTTATAATACAAAAATAAATCACATTTTATTTTGTAAAAGGTAAGATTTATTCTCATTGATTTATACTATTTTGTATACTTTTAATTTTGTTTTATTTATTTGAAATTATGAGTTTTTAAAAATAGTTTCACGACAAAAAAGATGATTTCCTTTTATTTTGGACAAGAGATGACCCACGTATTGGTGACGCTTGTTGGGACAGTCAACAAATTGTCTTTGGGCCTCCACACGCTTGTTGGAACGTTCTTTCTACATCAACCTATTTACAAGAAGCAATGTTTGAAATTTTAAAAATTTTATTAAAATTTTTATTAAATGTGAGTTTTACATCTATATAAAATATTTGATAAAAAATTTAGTAAAATTTTTAAAGTCTCTAACATTTTTGATTCACAACTGGTTAGTTGAGTTTTAAAATTTTACATATTTGTTTTAAAAAAATAGTTTAATAAAATAAATAATAAATAATTATCATTTTAAAATTTTTTTTTGAAATTTAATTTCATCAAATTAATTTTTATTTAAATATAAATATAAATAAATAACAAATTCTAACAACTTAACCAAATAAATTATTTTGAGATTTGAGAAATTGTAGTTAACTAATTGTGTTTTTATTTTCAAAATGGATATTCAAATATAAATTCTGAAAAAAATAAATTAGAAATTATTGATTGCTGTTAAACTAATATTTCACTTCACTATTAATTAACACTTTTACATATAATTTCATTTCTTACATTTTTTTCTCACTTTTAGAAACAAGTGATTAAATTCCATATGCATTTATTAATGAAAGTCTCATTATTTTATATCTAAAATTGAGAAAACAAGATAAATAATAAGATTGGACTTTCTTACATTCTTCAAAAATGATAGAACTCTATTTAGACCAATACCTATCATTTGAAAACTTCATTTCATCCAAGATAGTTTTCAAACTTCATTTAAGCCATTCCATTTATGGATGTTCTTATACAGAGTCTTGTTAAGGTGTACAAAATTTTAAAATTTCTTTAACATCACCTTAATAATATTCATATTCATATATATATATATATATATTATTTATGTACAAGCACTAGAACCAAATATATACTCAATGGACATTGCCCATGGCCTATATAACCCAGAAAAGAGGAGTATAAGAAAAGAGAAGACAAGTGAAAAGAGAAGGGAAAGACTACTTTTATCATTGAAGGGTTAAGAGAGAATCTACAGAAGCTACTCCAAAACAAAGGAAAAAATACACAAAAATAAATTACAAATAATAAAAAGAAAAAGAAAAAGAAAAAGAAAAAAAAACATGTGTAAACTAGAATGATGATTGGGCGATTTGCATCTGTCGTGACCCATCAGAAGTTTCCAATGTCTGTTGCGGTCTGTTGTGATCCATCGGATGTTGGCAATGTCTGTTGCGATCCATCAGAAGTTGCCAGTGCCTGTTGTGATCCATCCGATGTTGGCAACACCAGGGACTCATCATTTGCTAGGGATACACCGTCGCCTACAGAAAAATCCTTCCATTGCTGAGTCACTGTTTTGATATGGGTGTAAAACTGTACTCCTGCCTTGCCTGCAAATTCACAAAACCTTCAATTTCCGCAAAAATTCAGAAATATTACAGTTATCATATCCACTGGTAAGCTGCTCTAAATAGCATGTTCTCTTGATTTACTATATTTTTACCTAAGAAATTGAGATCTCCTGCAAAAGATGCCTTGGAGCCAGTAAATGAGAAAAAGGGTAGCGGGGCTGCAACTGGGACATTTATACCGACCTGAGTCCAAAACAGTTCATGTTAGAGCTTCCTATAAAAAAAATTCGAATGAAAACTGATTGGTTATTTTTGTTTCTTGTGTTTTCAGAAAGGAAACAAAAAAAAAAGTTTGAAAACACCGATTGTTTTTACATCGTTTCACTTTTTGTGCCAAAACAATTTTGGAAAATTCAAAAACAACTTTTTGATGTTTACTATAAAGTGGGTTGTTTTTCGGAAAATTTTCCCCAAAACAGTTTTCAGAAATAGTTTGCTAAACAAGTTCTGTGTTTTCTGGAATCTCGGCTATGGGAAACTGGCAATTCCCCATTTTAATTTTAAATTAAACTTGCATTTTGATTTTTGGATGGAACCATCTTTCCAGATTCAGCTAATTAAACTAGCATCAAACGTCAACCTAGAGTAGTAAAAAAGGCAGTCCAAAAAGACCATCACGGACTTGCAGTAAGCAAACAAAACTCAAGAGCAGTTTGGGGTCTAAAGTACAATCAAAGCATCTGTTATTCTAGTTGTTGACCAGTCAAAGGGCATGCTAAAAAATGTCATGTTACCTGCCCCGCCTCAACCTCGGTCTGAAATTTCCTAGCAGCTGCACCAGATGTCGTAAATATAGAAGCTCCATTGCCATATCTGCCCCAGGAGAGCGGGTTAGCATCTAAAATAAAAATACAACACTCCAAGAATTTCAAAATTTATAAAGAGGTTCAAGGGAAGATAAAACCGGGACATACTTGTTTCTATTAACAATGTTTATGGCCTCCTCTAAGTTATCAGCCTGAAGGTAACAAGGGCAAGAAAACAATTATGTATTTAAATTTCCATAATAAGCAAGAGCACCTGATTATCGAAGAGAATTGTAGGGATGATATACCAACCTCCATGCAAAGAAGCACCGGGCCATAAATTTCCTCCTGCGCAGACGAAGATCAAGTGTTGTCAAGGATCAAGTCCGTCCTTCCACCGGATATCACAAAATATCCTATGTCGATTTTGGAAACATAAAGATAAGATACCTTGTAACACTCCATGTCAATTCTGACGTCAGATAAGATGGTGGGAGCAATAAAGTTGCCCAGTTCATATCTTGGAACCTATTTTTGTCATCCTTGAATAAATTAGTTAAAACTTAAAAGCATAGACCACCGTGGATACTTCAAAAATGAAAGCACAATCGGGAACAAGCTCCTTAAAATTCTTTCAAACAAATCATTACACCACCACAAAAGCCAATATACATGAGACTCGTTCGAGGACTGAAAATCATACCCTTCATTAGTCTTGTTTCAGTTTCTTATGACTCACATTTTTTATGTCAAAGCAGCATCTATCTGTATCACTCTAGACATTGATCTACTCAGCCCACCAGATAGAAGGATGAGGGTTTCACACACTAACTAGGCCATTTCTAGTTGAAAGAATTTAGAGGCCAGAGTTGGCAAACTGTTCCAAATTTTCTATTTGAGACATGCTCAAGGAAAAGTACATTTTGGATAAGTATTCCCCAAAATGGTGGATATCCCACTCGTGGTTCCTCAGTTTCAACGACCAACTTTGTTCCCAATTCTCCATTCCCATTATAGACACAAAAAATGATGAAAAATGGAAGAGGGGAGGGGAAGTGGGTTTTTACAGCCAAAATTAATAATAAAAACAAAAAAATTCGAAGTTAACTGTTCCCCTCTTATGAAATTTCAGGCTAGGGTGGGCCGGGCACATAGCCGATTTGAAAAACACACTCAGAGTTGGGCCATCAGGAACAGGTACCAAATACCTAGGCCCATACCCTACCCGGGGGGTGTGAGCTAGGGAGGGGCCCAGACTTGGGCCCAACAATGGGCTGTGGCTGTTTCAACACCTAGTTCATCTATACCCTCAAACGACCTATGAATAGCTCATCACAAACTATTTACACCATCAATGGAAAAGAGCTGACCCAGGCCTTCTTTCTTCACTTCCAACTCTCCCAAGGATAATCAAATGCACCCCAAACAAAACTATGAGGTTGTTTCAACATCCCTAGTTCCTCTATGCCCCCAAAAGATCTATGACTCAGCTCATCACAAACAATTTACATCATCAATGCAAAAGAGCTAACCCAATCCTTCTTTCTTCTTTTCCAACGCTCCTACGGAAAATCCAATGCACCCCAAACAAAACTAAGCAAGTCCCAAACTCTCTGGCCACTAGGCAATGAATGAGAAGATTAACAGGTCTCTATCTTACTTGCACGCACACCAATTAACCAAAATGTGACAACTGTGAATCAAATCGTCAATAAGCAATAGCTACCCATGCATTGTTGACCCAAAAAAACAAAAAAATTCCACCTTAGACAGTATCTTTTTAACCTAATTCAGGAAAATTCTCAAGGGACAAAAGGCTTCATAAAATTTTCACAAATCACAGGTGCAATCTGATAAAATCCAAAAGTACAGGCATCAAAACAAGAAAATAACCACCTGGGCTGATAGCTGCACTGGTTGAGTTCCAAGTAAACCCTAGGTTGGGGGTCCAAGCACCATATCATGCTATGCTTTAAGTTCTTTAAACTAATCCCCCCCAAAATAAAACAAAAGAAAAATAACGTAGCCATGCATGTTCTATGTAAAGAAAATGGTACAATCAGATTTATCCTTCCTTAATCATGGCTTGAGAGTTAGCACATGGCCCTCATTTGTTAACAACATAAAAGCCTATTCATCACAGGAATGGTGTAATGCTTCATATGCAAATCTGCTACCATCAGAAATAAAAAAGACGAAACAAGAAAGATACAAACAGATACCACAATGTTTCTTCCATCAAGTGCTAGTCTGGCACCGCTATCAATACCATTCTGAATTAATCTGCATACATGCTCTTTTGCCTGTGGATACAGCAGAAAACCCAAGCAATATAAAAATTTAAGCAGAAACAAGAAGTAGTCAAGAGTGCTGCAGCTCATAGAGCCAAAAAACACACACAACAGATTATTTTTTTAATCATGAACATTACAAAAAGTATCAAGATCATAATTGTTAGAAGTAGATGCATTTAATTTTATCATCTTCTCAGCATTGATAATGTGGATATATGATTAAAACATTTAACAAAAATGCTAGAGACCCCAAAAATTCTACCAAAAGTTTTATCAAATGTCTCATATGGGTATGGGACCCACATCGGACCCACATTGTGTGGATCTCACACCCATGTGAGACATTTAGTAAATACGTTGGTAAAATTTTTGGGGTCTCTAGCATTAATCAACATTTAAACTATGTATCAACCTGTTTGCTAATCACAGGACCAAGGTCTGCATCTGGTTCAGTTCCAGCATTTACTTTAAGTGATTTAGCACGCTCCACTAGTTTGTCCTCCCTGAAAAGGAAATAATAGAGCTCCAGGTTATTCTGATGCATCTCATTTCCAGCATGAAACTGAAATTAAGTACTCCCATCATCCTTATCAGGTTTCTATTCAGAAAACTAGATACTTCAACAAATAGCATATGTGATATTGCAAGAAGTGAATTTGCACACGAATCAATTTCAACTTTTACAGTTAAATAGAGTTCAGTACTTTAGGCAAATTAATCTTAATAGGAAGAGACTGAAGAACATAACAAGGAAACAGAGGATATGATTGAAGGAAGGGAAGAGACTAATCCTTGATAAAAAAAAAGGAGTCAGATAGCCAAGCATGTGAAAGTGAAACAGAATACCATGAATTTGAGCTTCCGACAAAAATAACTGCGCTGATTGCCCTGCACCTCTGTCCTGCAGCACCAAAACCAGCGGCAACTAATGCATTCAAGGTAGCATCCATGTTTGCATCAGGCAGGACAATTGCTGGATTTTTGGCTCCCATATTGGACTGAAGAGAATAGTCAGCCAACCGAATCATGACAACTTCAACAATTATGAGTATGGAAGGTTAAAATATTTGCTCATAAGTCAAAAGAGAAATGCATGTTTGTTCCCAGGATAAGATAATCTGCTACTACCTGAACACGTTTACCACTAGCTGATGCTCTAGCATCTAAATACCTGCCAGCCTTGAAACAAAATAAAAAAACAAGGATATAATTAACAAAAAGTATGTGACATCAATTTAATAATTTTTTATTTGCCCTAGTCAAAGTCAAGTATCAATTGATGGCACAAAAATGCTGAGTATACCCACAAATATTTGAACTGAACATTTCAATTTTAGTGAAAATGATTATAAGATGCCTACTATATCTTAATGACAAATAAAAAAAAAGAATAAAAAAAAAAAAAACCACCAAGTCAAACACCCTCATTTTGACATATAAGCGTGAGAAATGATTGTCTCACGAAAAGAAGAAAACAACTTGATTAAGCATCAGTGTACTTCTCAACATTAGAATCCATTTCAAGCATCTATGAGTCGCTGTTAGGGGTAAAAGATGGCTAAAGAATTAAGAAACACAGGCACTCTGTCTTTCTAAAAGTCCCACTGACTTTCTCTCTCTCTAGTTTCCAATTAATGAACAACTCAGACAACAATTTGACAATATTAATGCTTTTACGTTATTTTGTCTCTCCCTTTCTCTTTGAAACAACAAAATTATCAGTTTACTTATCTCTCAAAATTATTGCTTCTAAGTGTAATTAAATGGAAATTTGCAAAGACAACAAAATTTACAACTGTACAACAAAATTATCAGTTTACTTATCTCTCAAAATTATTGCTTCTAAGTGCAATTAAGTGGAAATTTGCAAAGATAACAAAATTTACAAAAGGACAAGTCACAGTTAGGATTTTTTTTTTCTTTTTCCAATAAATAAACAGTAACAGTTAGAATTACTAATAGCCAATACCTCGATCCGTTTACATACTAGTCCTACCTTCTCACTGCAATCTCTACCAATGAACTGTCCCAATCATAAGTGCTCAATAAAAGCTCCAACAAGACCATCTCCAACTACTTTCAAAATCATGACTTACCACTGCATTCATCCAGACTCATTTCTTTCTTTCCATCCACAAGTGGATTTTGATAGATTCATGGAATCTACAAGCACATTTTAATTAGAAGAATTTTCTTTTGGCAGTGATGATTTGTTGGTGGCAGTAATGAAAATCAGATGGTGGTGCTAAGAATTGATTAGAAAGTCTTTCATGGCAATAATGAGATTACACCAATTCATGCTTTACTACTTCACCTTATTTGAGGTGTGCAATTCTTTTATAGAAAAGGTATTAAGTTGAATTCTTTGTTTGATTGTCCATTACATTTTGATGAGTTTTGTGGGTACTTGTATCAAGCTCAATACGTGGCAAGCCCTATAGGTGCCACATCACCAAAACCACACCTGCGTGCCAGACCAATAAGGCACCACGTCTGGCATGTCGTATGTTTGATACATGGCGAGCCCTACGGGCGCCATGTGCCAAGGCAACCAAAACTATATGCTTAGCCTAAACGGGAGCATATATACAAGCCCAAATATATCTAGAAATGAAGAGCCCTGCAATAGGCAGCACCATGGCCCCGCAGGGCCCATGGTCCTTCATACCTCGCTCCAAGGCCAAACAACAATACAATCAGCCCCCAGCTCACTTGGACTTGGATTGATAAACAATGGCTCTCCTAAACATTGAAATAGGCCTGCGGCCCATTCTCCTACTTAATCACTCAGAAGCGAGCCCCTCTCTTAAACATTGAGATAAGCCCGCAGCCCATTCTCCTACTTAGTCACTTGGAAGCGAGCACTTGGCTCTCTTAAATACTAAGGTGGGCCCTGGCCCATTTATCTACTTGGATGCCTGGGTTGGGAGCAGGACCCAGGCACTACTACTCGGGATCATCAGAGGATACTGGACTGGCGGTTGAGGTCATGGGATCGTCGAGATGGTTATCTTCTTGCTAAGACAACTCCATCTCGACCAAGCTTAGAGAAGAGGCAACAATGACCTTACGTTCATGTCATCCGATGCATATACGAAACGTTACTTTCTGCCTGCCATGAAACGTTGCTCTCCGCCTACCGGCAAGCCACAGACGGCAGAAGGGCTTATATCACTTCTGGCAGAGTTGAGGAGAACGAGCCACCTGTCCAACAGTTCGCTTGGACTCCAATACTCCTGTGGCCTATATAACGTATCGTATACGCAGCGAGACACAACAACAACAATACAACCGAGCCTCATGCTTAAACACCCTCTCATACCTTACATTAGTGTTCAAAGGTCTATCACTGCCAACCTCTCCCTCTCCAAGCTTGCCTTGACCTCCTCCTCTCCACCTCCGATGATCTCAGGCCATTGAAGTGCCCGCCATCTTCCCGGACTACCTCTAACCACACCTCTCACCCACAAGTTTTTATAATTTCTTTAAAAATTTGCTTGTCTTTTTTCTTTATGGGTGATAGTTTTTTAGTTATGGAATTTGTGCATTCTTATTACGCAGTTCTTATTTCTTTCTTCGCTTTTTGATGTGTTTTTCACATTTCCACTTCTGGTCATCAATTCTTCATTACTAATCTGGAATTTATATAAAATAAAACTAAAACTAGGAATCAGATAGAAAAGGAAAAGAGAATAACAATCAATCAATTTGGAGTCAAGGCTCACAATTGGCAGCTGCAACACCTGTGTCAGATAATCATTAAACTTTTATTTTCTTTCCCCTTTCATTTCACTTTCAATAGAGCAGCATTCATTCATTTGCTGATGGATTCAGTTAATGCAGATTTACCAGTTTTTGCAGATTTGCAGAAACAGATTGTAGAAAATTCATAAGCATATCATTACATAGAGCATTCTATAGTAACTAAATAGGAATTGAACACTAAGGAAAAAAACTCACTGTATCGGAACCAACAAATGATATAGCTTTAATATCGTCATCATCACAGATAGCATTCATGATCTCCTGCCCAAAGTTGAAGAAAATAAATGCAAAATGAGACATCAACACATCAAATTACTAGTTTATGGCAACTGATAAATCAGTAGGAAAATATGCAATAAAATGAGAAATTTTCTTAAATAAAAGAAAAGGTAAATAGAGAGTACAATGGAGGATGAGAAGTCAAGTAAATGAAAAAAGAAAAAAAAAACAAAAACACATAAATAAAAGAACAAATAACACAGGCCCATACGCCTCTGATGTACTTCATGTCCATCTTTCCATTCCCAACCTCCACAAGAAAAAGAAACACTTCAAAGGGATTGCTTCTCCTTTCTTCCTTTCTTTCAAAGGGACATGTTCAACTATGGCTTGGTTGATTAAGGCATGCACTGTGCACTGGTAATTATATATATAGCACATATATACATGTTACATAAAAGCATTGCAATCGACATAAATGGTGGTAGTAATGATTCAGTGAGAGAGAGAGAGGGGTGAGAGAGAGAAGAGGCATGGTGCTCCAGGAGTTCATGGAGAAAAATAATAGCAAGCGATAACAATCACCTGGATCTTTCTCAGAAGGCTTTAGAATAAATGTATTGCCACATGTAACTGCAATGGGAAACATCTGCAAAAATTGACACAAAATATGGAATTACTATTATTTTCTCGAGTCGGGGTAATGAAATCCACTAAGCATCCCAAAACCACAAAATTTGCGAGAGAGACTTCAAATAGAGTTGATGAAGGGTTGAGGAGGAGGGATAAAAGACCTCGGGTGTGAAGGAGAAGACATAAAATTTTATATTTTTTTATTATTTTTGGGTATGATTGGTATTTTTGTCATTTTACATTCCCAAGTAACACTGTTCACAGACATGGGGGTGATTGTAATATCTAGAACCACAAGGAAAAATCTATATTTTTCATAAACATAAGTAGTTTATTTGTAATTTACCATTAAAAAATATAATATTGGCACGGTTGGGAGGAATTCTCCAAGCACATTATGTAATTTTAATTTGGGCATTTAGTTAGATTTTGGATCAATATTGGTCTGCTAATCGCCCCTTGAAGGAAGCACTTCCACACTTATTCAGGACTGCAGTTTCGAAAAGCATTTGCAAGTTAGTCTGGAAGGGGGTGTTAGTCTGGAAGCTTTGCTTTTGTTGAGAGTTGCAAGTCCGGTTGAGGCAGTATAGGAGTTCTATTCCATGCTTTATGGCTTTCCTAGAGTTGGAAAAGATTCACTGGGATTTACAACACCTATCATTATCTGGGACGCAGTGTGCGCATTATATAAGGGTTGGATAGTTGGAGGAGGTGTAGAGCACACTTAATTATTGTGCACCTATCATTATTTATGTACACTGCATGTCCACATGCATGCATAGTGTACCCTTTGCACGCTTTAGTGCAACTTTCAATTATCAGGAAAGGAACATAGAAACTTTTTTTTTTTTTTGATAACCGGGTGTTTGGGCTAACTTATACGCACTTCGACTAATCCCGGTAGACCAATCCTACCGCCCACTTGCGGGGGCCTCATTTAAAGCCAGAGCAAACGCCCTATATGGATTGGCCCCAAGGAGTTTATTGCAGCTAGTGAGTATTGAACCTAAGACCTAGAGGGAGCACACTCTCAGGCCCCAAGTTGTGCCCACTAGGCCAACCCCTTGAGGATAGGGAAATAGAAGTTAAGATCAATATGATATAGAAAACTAACCCATAGGATAGTTCGAGGCTGCTCAGAGTGCACATAGATGCAGCGTGCTATGGTGCATTCATCTTGTTACAGGAGGCTGAGAATTAGGGATGGCAATGGATAACCTACCCTTGTGGGTATCCATGGAGATCCAACCCAAATACATGAGTATTTCCCTTTTTTCTTATCCATCGGGTAGGGTAAGTGATATTCTTTAAATATCCACAAGGGATGAGTCGGGGATGGGTACCCACTAAATTTCCCCATATGTTTTTTTTTTTTTTTTTTTTAAAGATTGACAACCAAAACTAAATATATATTCAATCTTTTTTTTTAAAATTTTGTTTTTTTTTAAATATTCACAACCTTTTTTTTGTTTTAATTTTTTTTTAAGATTCACAACCAAAGCTAAATATACATTCAATCATTTTTTTTTCTTTTTTTTTTTTAAATTTTGTTTTTTTTTACGATTCACAACTTTTTGGATGGCAATGGATAACCTACCCTATGGGGTATCCATGGTTTTTCCCTTTTTTCTTATCCGTCGGGTAGGGTAAGTGATATTCTTTAAATCTCCACAGGGATGGATCGGGATGGATACCCATTAATTTTTCCATTTTTTTTTTTTAAGATTCACAACCAAAGCTAAATATACATTCAATCTTATTTTATTTTATTTGGCTCAACAACAAAATCAAATACACATTAATTAACATTGTCACATTATTCTTGTCAAATTTTATTATATCTAGAATTTTTTAAATTTATTTAGAAAAATTCTTTTCCTACAAAAAAATTTCATCTTCTTTTTTAATTTTATGTATCTCCTTCTCCTCTCTATTAATTGATCTTCGATAATCTGAAGGTGAGTTATTGCTCTCGTTTCCATCTTCTTCTTCTTCTTTTTTAAATTTTTATTTGCATTTATAGAATGAATTTTCTTATTTCAATATCTCCTGCAATTGTTTTATTGGATTTTTCTCTGATTTGACGGTAACCTTAGATTGAATTTTCCATTTTCATCTTAACTAGCGATCACCTTAATTAAAATTTTGTACATTTTTGTCTTCAATTTCCATGTTTTGGTTATGATTAATTGCACGTTTTTTATCTATAGTCACAATCTTGTCATCGCTAGATTGCCGTCATCGCAAATCGTCATTGCTGTAGTGAGAGGATGAGAGAAAGTGAGAATTAGAACTCTAATTGTCAACAGAATAGTGAAAACATATGGAGAAATTATTTTCCGAAGTAACTAAAAAAAAATATGGGAAAATTAGTGGGAATCCATCGCCGACCCATCCCCGGTTGAGATTTAAAGAATATTACTTACCCTACTCGATGGACAAGAAAAAATGAGAAATCCAAGTATTTGGGTTGGATCTCCATGGATACCCACATGGTAGGTTATCCATTGCCATCCCTACTCTGTTGACAATTAGAGTTTTAATTCTCACTCTCTCTCATCCTCTTACTACAACAACGGCAATTTGCGATGACGACAATCTAGCGGTGACAAGATTGTGACTATCGATCAAAAACGTGAAATTAATCATAACCAAAACATGGAAATTGAACAAAAAAATGTACAAAATTTTAATTAAGGTGATCGCTAGTTAAGATGAAAATTGAAAAATTCAATCTAAGGTTACCATCAAATCAAAGAGAAATCCAATAAAACAATTGCAGGAGATATTGAAACAAGAAAATCCATTCTATAAATACAAATAAAAATTTTAAAAAGAAAAAAAAAAAGAAGAAGAAGAAGATGGAAACGAGAGCAATAACTCACCTTCAAATTATCGAAGATCAATTAATAGAAAAGAGGAGATACATAAAATTAAAAAAAAAATTAAAAAAGAAAATGGATTTTTTTTGTAGGAATAGAATTTTTCTAAATAAATTTTAAAAATTCTAGATATACATAAATTTTGACAAGAATAATATGATAATGTTAATTAATGTGTATTTGATTTTGTTGATTTTGTTGTTGAGCCAAATAAAATAAAATAAAATAAGATTTAATGTATATTTAGCTTTGGTTGTGAATCTTTAAAAAAAAAAGAGTTGTGAACCTTAAAAAAAAAGAAAAAAAGAAGAAGATTGAATGTATATTTAACTTTGGTTGTAAAAAAAAAATATTAGTTGTGAACCTTAAAAAAAAGAAAAAAAAAATTAATGTATATTTAGCTTTGGTTATGAATCTTATCGGAAAAAAAAAAAGAGAAGAGATTGAATGTATATTTAGCTTTGGTTGTGAATCTTAAAAAAAAAGGGGTCAAGTTGGGCTAGGGAATATCCAAACCCATTAGGAGATGGGGAGGGTACTACCCATAGGGAATGGGGGATGGGGAATAGGGAAAAATAATTATTGGGGAATGGGGATGGAGAATTAATATCCACCCCATTAACCCCCATTGCCATCCCTACTGAGAATGCATGTATATATATTATTTTGCATCTATCATTATTTTTTGTATACATCTTGTTTACATGCCCACCCTCGTTTGGCACTCCTTCATGCATCATTTTTTTTTATCTATCAGGAGTCCAACAAAAAAATAATGAAGGTCAATAAAATATTGCACATTAACTCTTGAGAGTGTCAAGGGATTGCACTCAATGAGATAATGCCTATCACAAGTAATTCAGAACTTACATTGGTGCCATGAACAATGCTTAAGACACCATTGGGCAACCCAGCCTCCATTGCTAACTCTGCAAGTATAATAGAAGCTCCTGAAACAACAACAAATAAATGTCTTATGAATGCGTACTAACAAAACAATCAAATAAAATATGATATTATATATATATACACTTCGAGAGAAGCCATGTAGAATAATGAGAATGCATAACCAACAACCAATAACCAGCTTATGAATATAATGAGGAAAGATTGCAAGCAAATCAAACAATTAAGGATTTTCAAGGCAGCAAGCTAATGTTCACAGAACCTCTTGTAAGATAGCTATTCACAGTTTTTCTCTCAAAACCCATCCATTGTGAGGCTATGATGAAGATGTATCAAAAATAAATTTCAAAAAATTGAGAACAGAGTGGTGGAAAAGCTTTCTAGAGAATTAATTATAATTCTTTAGAGAGGTGACATTTTTCTTTTTATTTATAAGAAACAGTCATTCAAGGAAAAAGGGGGAAACCAAAATCACATTCTCAAGCTTCCGAATCATAACAATCCAGAAAAAGGAAGCAAAATTCCTAAAGCTCCAAAGCAATAGGTATTTTGTTTTGGGAAGTGCTAAAAAAGCTGGCTTTTCTACTTATTACGAAGAGACATGCAAAAAATAGAGAGGTAATGTGACCAAAATAAGCCAATCAGCTTTGCACTTCCCAAAAGAGAAAAAAGGCCTTAACATTGCAATCAGCATTTCCCCTTCAACAAAAATCCAATTTATTTTCATTTGAATTCCCAATGAAAAAGCAACTGCACCGCCTCACTTCCCAAATCAAATGCACCAATTTAAAGCGAAGTCAAAAGCTGTTTGAGGCAATGATCAACAAGTCAAAAAGAAAGAAAAAATTGAAGATAGAATCCAAATATCCCACTTCACTTGGCAATGAACAAAAGGAATTTATTCACCGACTCAACAGTGTACTACATAATGTGTATGTTTAGATTTGATACCACTGCTAGTGCCACAAAACTCTTCTAAGTAGATATGTCTATCCTAAGAAACAGATTGATCCACACAAGATGGAGAATATTTTTACATAATGCACACTTCAATTCTACTGCTAATTCATTTTCTCAAAGGCTAGAAAATCAATATATTTTCCTAAATTCACACTTAAACAATCATTTTTCCTAAATACATTATTGCACAGAAATAGAAAATCAATCAGTGTGTTTGGTTTGAGTTTTCTAGATTAAATTTTTTGAAAACTGAGTTTTTTGGTTTTCGTATTCTTTTGTTTTTAGTGGATATTTTTAAAATTTTAAGCATTTTTTGTACTTTTTTAGATGCACCTTAGTTAGATGTATCTAAAAAGTAAAAAATTTGTGAAAAAATATTTTAAAAAATTAATAAATACATAGAAATACAAAAAATGTACTGAATTCTTGTATTTTTTTTGTATTTTTGGTATTTAGTGAATTTTTAAAAGATTTTTTTTACAATTTTTTTACTTTTTAGGTGTATTTATGTTAGGTGTGTCTAAAAAGTAAAAAAATTACTTAAAATTTAAAAAAATCAATAAAAACAAAAGAATACAGAAAATAAGAAAGTAGAATTTTTTGAAAAATATTTTTTGAAAAATGAAAACAAGCAAGCTGAATATAGTTTTTCACTGGTCAAGAATAAAAATCAACAGTCATTTTCCAACAGTGAAAATCAAAGGAGAGAGAGGGAAAGTCTATTGAAGCTTGCAGACTCCATTACTAAGGCTCACGTATCTGCTCGTTTTTTTTATTGTTACTTGACAAACTCTCGACTCTCGATGATGCTTGCATCATGAGAGTTTGAAAGGGGCTTGAACTTGTATTTTTAGGTCTGGTTATTTCATCTTTAGCATGGGGGTAATTTTGTACCTTTAGATTCATGGGATTCTTTCTATTTAATTAAAGTAAATTATCATTAGTAAGTGAATTAAGGTATCTGCCATAGAATAGAAAAGTAAAATCAGCTTCTAGGTTGCCGAAAAAAGTACTTATCAGAAAAAGGTTGTTGAAAGAGTTTTCTACTGAAACACAAAATCCCAATAATTTGAAGGAGACTACTGCACATATAAAGATTATGGAGCAGTGACAAGCTAATCAGTTGAATAGAGACATTAAATAGCTACTGACAGTCTGACACCAAAAAAATGTTAAGCATGTTAAAAAACTAATGAATGTTGACCTTAGAAAATTTTCATGCTTAAGAGCTTCTTCATACATGCATCACTGGTGCTTTAGACGTCATTCCTACCAAGATGAATGAATAAATTGTCCAAATTTAAATTCATGTCATATAAGGCAAAACATTTCACTAAAAAAGAAAAGAACATAAAAGTAAAAATCTAGGGCAAAACCAGCTAGGATTCCACAAATCATAAAACTGGGAGGGAATGCTCCAGGAGTTCATGGAGAAAAATAATAGCAAGAGATAACAATCACCTGGATCTTTCTCAGAAGGCTTTAGAATAAATGTATTGCCACATGTAACTGCAATGGGAAACATCTGCAAAAATTGACACAAAATATGGAATTACTATTATTTTCTCGAGTCAGGGTAATGAAATCCACTAAGCATCCCAAAACCACAAAATTTGCATTTAGTATCTAACAAAACCACAGCACAGACATGACCACGCAGTGCGCACTTGTGGTATGAACACAAAGAAATGCGTATAATTTCAGTAAGCGCAAAGAAGAAATATCTAGATAGAAACACTGAAACATGCAAGGCATGAAGAGAAATAGAAAAAAACAAAAGTGTCTTACCCATAATGGAATCATTGCTGGGAAGTTGAAAGGACAAATCCCAGCACAAACACCAAGTGGCTCTCTAATGCTGTAAGTGTCAATTCCATTCGGTACATTTGAGGCAAACTCCCCCATTTGCAGACTTGCCGTTCCACAAGCATGCTCCACAACCTCTACAAGAGAAAGGCAAAATTTTAATGAACATAACCAACCGAGCTCAAAACCTTAGATATTTTTTCAAGAAAGAAGGCAGAAAAGACACCAACCTAGCCCACGTAAAACTTCACTGTATGCATCCTTCAATGTTTTACCCTGCTCAGTAGTAATATTCAACGCAAGCTTGTCCTAGGACATAATTACAATTACGAATTATCATTAACGAAATGTGATAAGTTTGATAAGATTCACATCACTGTCATCCCAATGCACTTACAATGTCTCTCCGGATAAGGTCTTGGAGCTTGAACATGATACGTTGACGGGTGGTAGCTGGTGTGTTTCGCCATGATGGAAAAGCCCTTTTTGCAGCAAATACTGCAGCTCTGAATTCTTCAGCTGAGGTTAAAGGAACTTGAGAGACAACTTGTTGCGTTGCCTATTAATGATTAAAAAAAATTCATTTACTCATTACTAACTTAGTCGACAGAAGAAAGCAAGAAAGAAAGGAAGAAAACAGAAAGTAATTGGACATTTTCTGTACTTACAGGATTTATTATGTCAATGGATGCCAATGATTGCGAATCAACAAATCTACCGCCAATGAGATTGGGAACCCTCTGCTAGATATAATCAATGAGGTTTAATCTAGTATAACTTCTAAATATATAACCTCACAAGGAGAGGAGGGTGGAGTAAAGAAGCATAAAGGCTAATACATGATGATCTATTCCTATATATGTACACATGTAACATTGCCCCCCCACTAGTCAAGAACAGGCATTAAGTTGAGATCATCTAAGTCACATCTAAGCTTACCGGAGGGTAGCGCTGCCTCCAAGATGGCTCACTAGTTGACGGGAGATGTATGTTTCCCACAACAGATGCTTGAGGTCTCAATGTCTTGAATCTCTTCACTGAAACACAAAAATACCAGTCTTTTGTGAGAAAAAAAGAGAAAGCCTTCAAGAACTGCCTAATTTACATCAGGCATACTTGGGGCTCTAAAGCGAAGGACATAAGGGATAGCTTGTCAATTTCATAACACTGAACATCTTGAAGCAAAATAGAAACATTCACCAATTGTTTATGCCCTTTAGCAGAACCATTACAATCTCTCTCAGCTCACTTCACTTACAGACTTTAAAAACTTATAAAAAATAATAATTGAAATATCATAGCTCTCACTATGTTAATCCTATATTAACCATTGCCTGCAACATCATCTTCCAAAAGAGCATGTTTTCTTGAGAACAAACAGTTGAAAGTTTCACTAGATTGGACCAACACCTAAAACATTCAAAAACAGATTATAAAAGAGAACAGATCCCACAATAATGAGCATCAATCCATAAAATATTACTTATCACCACCTTTATCTGCATAAGCAATCAACAATGTGATATCAAAGGACACACCAATCATGAACAAAAAAAATGGAGTGCAGAATCCAATTTAAGCCTTGATGGAAAGTATTCTGACTTGTCAAGTAGGCATAGCAATCAATCATAAGACAATAGCACTGTAAAGGTACTATCCTACTTCTTAATAAGGGAATAAATACGACTAACAATTACAAAGCACGTCAGTGAAAGAGGGGAAGGGGAGAAGGGGGTGAAAAGAGTAATCAAGGATTGTAGCACACTGTTCATATAAAAATAGATTCAGAGCAGTCAAATGATGAAAATAAAAAATAAAGAAGCTTGACATGAAGTAGTACATATCTTGTGACCATGTATAAATGATGAAAAGTGAAGAAATAAAGATAGATAGACAGCCAGACAGAAATGAACAAAAGAAAGTGTGTCAAACTGTAAGTTGGTAGAGGGGGGCTTGACCTGCAAGGTTTCCATGTCGGAGCTTAGCCTTGACATTGTAAACATGCTTTGGCGTAGATAAAAGCTCTGGATTGCTTTGTCTCAACCTCTTTAGAATTTGGCGTGGCTTTAAACCAGCTTCTGTCATCTCTTTAATTAAAAGCACTTCTGTCTCTGTGAAGCGACGAGCAGAAGGATGCTCTGAAATGTCCTTCAATGGTTCATGGTTGTGCTCGCCATTTTTAATGGTGAGCACCCACAAGCCATCATCCTTTTTACCCACACATTCAAATGGACAATTTGTAAGCCGAGAACCTGTTTTTCTTTTGCGAGAATGTTCACCAGATGCCTCATCAATAGGTTTTCGTCTATTACGATAAACACCTCCTCTGTCACAGCCAAGGATTACCACTCTGTCCTTCTTAGATTGCTTGATAGTTACAACATATCCCTGGGATATGGCAAACTCCCCAACATGTTGGATAAGTTCTTCTCGATCTAAAAAACTTCCAGGTGGAGGTGGAAGCATCTGTAGGGTTTCAGATAACCCTGCATAATCTTGGATGTCCATCAACAATAAAGAAAGTAAAAAACCTGCATCAAAGATGGAATTTCTTGCTGAGAAGAGGGGAAGCAAGTTGGACATCTTCATTTTCAAAGTAAAGTTACAGCAAAGACATAAGATTCAAATTTATTGAACTTATCCAACTGATTGGTTAGTGAAACCCTATTCCAATCAATTCTGATAAATAGACTGGCTAGTTCTCTGGATTCTGCAAAGCTTTCCTCGTCCATTTTAATATTCTGCCAATGGCAAAGCCGTGGAGAGTAAAAAGAGTCTCAGAGACCAATACCCAAGTAAAATTTTTTGAAGACATTAAGGGCCGTACCAAAATGTTGTATCTCTGTTGTGGTGTAATTGCTGGTATGGCATAAAAAGGGAGAGGTCAGATGAGGGTTCAACTTTTATAGTTGTCCAACAGCAAAACAAGGGTCACCATGCGTGTGGACCTTATCTTAAGGGACTCGTAATTTAAAATCCACTAAATCTCATATTTGCCCTTCATTTCATATATTTAAGTTGTTAAGGAACGCTTAGAATTACCAAATTATTTTAGAGTCATCAACACCGCTTCATGAAAAAAAGAAAAAAGGAGCACCTAAATGGTTTTCTCCCTTCATATAATCTCGAAGCCATACAATATTTGATTCTCTCAACAAAGTTGTAAAGAATCTAATGATTTATGACTTTTTTTAACAACTTCTGAATGGAAAATATGAGGTTTAATTACTGATCATTTCACCATTATTAGATATACACACATACCCATGTTCCACAATTCTTTCCCTTACAATTCAAAAAACTGCTTCAGGCTAACCGTCTCTCAATAACCATACAGACTCTCTCTTGATAACCAAAAGAAATAGTGGGATGTACCTAACTTCAAAGTGAAAAAAATCCCAAAAGATAAGGCCTTGGTCATGGCGTATGGCACTTGTCTAGTAACAATCAAGTGATCAATTCTCATTTCTCACAAGTCACACCAGCCACTACTACACCCAACGCAATGATAATATATACAAAGATCAAACAAAGGGAGAATCTTGGCTCAACATACACATTAAAATCCTTTCATTCCATTGCTTATGTAATTTTTGAATCATTAATTATCATCTTATAATATTCATTCTTATTTTCTTCAATAATAATAGAAATCTGAATTCGATGTTGTATAGGATGATAGGACAATTATTATAGAAGGAAAAGTATGACAGGTGTGTTAAGTCTACATTTGCTATATTACATTTCTTTATTTTTCTCTCTTTTCGATTCAAATCTGACCATATCTTTCTTAGTAATTTCCACATTGTTGTTAGGCTAAGATATCATTAATCTTTTGCAACTTGAAAGTAATATTATATATATCATATAAGAAGATAGATGAGAAGTAGAGGATCAAGATTCTAATACAAAATGATAATCACTAAGAAGTGGCAGATAACTTAACAGAAAAATGATTACATACAATAGGGAACATGACCATTGTAGCAACCCGACCCTCTCTTATGCTTTAATTTCCTCATTATATATGTGATTATATGTGTGTTTATGTGTTTGATGTGAATGGCATGTTTAAATGTGTGAATTACATGTTTATGGAATTGTATCTATCGGTTATGAGAAAATCTGTTGAAATCATGACCTTTGGACTGAAAATTGAAAGCCTTAAAGGCGCGATAACCAGAATTTGACTTTACAGTTAGGATTAGTATGATTTTTAGGACATAATATGAAATTTTGTAAAAATTTGATTCATAATGAATTAAATTGATTTATTGGGCTCAATGCTTAGTTAAGCTTGAGCTTAGACTTAGTGAGCTAAGCTTTCTTGGATATTATATATATATATATATGAGCCTTATGATATTTAGACTCATCCAAACATCAAACATATCTCCTGGGAAGAGAAAAGAGAGAAGAAAGAAGAAAAAAGAGAGAGAGGAAAGAGAATTCAACTAAGAGCTTGGGAATTGAAGAAATTGAAAGATTAATTCAAAGATTTAGCTCAAGGTAAGTGGGAATCAACTAAACTACTCTAAATCCTCCTCCAATTGGTTGAAATCAAGTCTTAAGATGAGTTTCTTATGTGGACAAGGATGGATGATATGGAAGACTCTACCTCCGCACAGCTTGATCGGTTGAAAAGAATGATTACGGACATGGCAGAAACTATGAGACAACAACAACAGCAACCACCACAGCCACCGGTGCCTGTACCACATGGTGCAAGACCATCAAGCCAAGGACCGAACCATTAAACTTACAAAAGAGTTTAAGAAGATGAAACCGTCATCATTCAAGGGGGGTATTGATCCGATGAAAGCCGAAGCATCGGTCTTAAGCACAGAGAAATTGTTTGAGGTCTTTCCCTGCACCGAGGCACAGAAAGTACAACTTGCCGCTTTTACTCTTGAAGACGAAGCACGAAGATGGTGGATGCTCACTAGAAATGAACATCAAGGGTTGACCTGGGCTCGATTTTTGGAGCTTTTCTATGATACGTATTTTCCACAGTGTATGCAAGATAAGAAAGTGACAAAATTTGAGACTTTGAGGCAAGGGAACAAAACGGTAGCAGAGTATGAAGCACAATTTTCAGAGCTAGTCCGTTTCGTACCACACATGGTGGATACGGACTACAAGAAAGCAAGAAAGTTTGAAGAAGGACTCCGGAATGCTATTTTTGATCGAATTAATGTGTTGAAATTGCCTACCTATGTCGATGTGTTGGAAAGGGCGATAGTGGTCGAAGGTAATATAGCTGCTCAAAATCAAATCTTTGAATGGAGGGGGAAGAGGCAGAATGCGCAAGCACCAAGGGGACCAGCGGCATCTCAGAACAAGAAACCGAACTTGGGAACCTCTAGTACTTCAGCCTCTACTTGTGAATCAGCACCAGCTTGACCAGATTGTAGGAAGAGGCACCGTGGGACTTGTTATCGGGTAACCGGGGCTTGTTTCAAGTGTGGAAAGACGGGAAATTTAGCAAGGGATTGCCCTCAAAGAGACCAACAAAACGGGAATAGAGCCAATACTAGTTCAGCCGGCTCAACTCCAGCTCGAACTACAAAGACTACTGCAAAACCCACCAATACCAAAGACAATGCTAGACAGGGAAGAGTATTTGCTCTCATTCCTGGTGATGTTCAGAATATTGAGACTGTGGTGTCAGGTACCTTCTCTATCAATGGTCACTCCGCTCATGTATTATTTGATTCGGATTCTACCCATTCTTTTGTGTCGGAAACCTTTACTAGTAATTTGAATAGACCTAAGGAATCGTTGCATCATAGTAATTTTGGATGGTTATCCCTTTGTACATAATTAGATGACTTGGACTTATGTGTATATGACTTGAACTTATGTGTATATGGATCATGTATGTGAATATTCTAAATACAGCATGATGCTTTAAGAATCCTGGCATATAAGCACTGCTCAATGAACATTCAGATTTTTTACTTGCTTCTGCTTTAGGCCCCGTTAGTGACTAAAATGTTTTTGGATATTTTTGTTTTGAGGCCTACGGACAGGCCGGTCATGGCTTAAACTTTTAGGGATAGGTTTGGGTCGTGACAAACATTGTATGTGTCCTATTTAAAAGTTCATCAACCCTGGCATGTCCATTCAGACCAATTATCCTTATTATTTTACACGTTTTTAATTATATTAAAACAAAAAAAAAAATACGACTTTTCAGTAACAAAATTGCTCAAAACAGTATAATGACCAATTAGGTCCAGGAAAGTCAACCCGAACCCATCCTGTTTGTAAACAGGTGCAATACACCAAGCCAAACCCGAATATCAAACTTTTTATTACAAATTTACAGTGACACATTATCACAAGGTCTATTATTGAATTCCATATCATTAAATTAACTTCGAAGAATTTTACTTTGGTCTCGCACTTTTTCCTTTTTTCTTTTTTTAACTGAAATAATTTCAACTGAGACTGCTTTCTAAATATCTCCGTGCTACCTAGTTTCTTAAAATATATGATCTGCTTCTACAAAACTTGAACCATTCAGTGGAGCAGGGCATAACAAGAACAAGAAACACTGTAACTGGAAGAAAAAAAGGAAAATTATTTGGTGGTCTGGGGGCAAGTTCATGTGGTGAACCAACTTGATTTTTCTTGTCAATACAAAAGAACTCAATACTTTTTGTTGGGTTTATAGAAAGACAACATGACAAGTGTCATTGCTCGAAGGCCACCAAATAATCACAAAAAACAAAAAAACAAAAAAAAATCATGTTCCTGTAAGACATTTTTACACAGAAAAAATTATCTACACTCCATTTGTTTTGACGTAAAATGTTTTTGTTAAAAATATTTTACTCATTTTCCGTTGTTTGATTGAACAAAAGGCAAGCAAACATTTTTTAAAGAAAATATTTTTGCATCATTTTTTCAAAAAATGACTTACCTTTAAAAATTCCATAAGTCAATTTTTACAAAATTGACACTCACTCACTACCTTTTCAACACATTTAGCTTTTTCAAATAAATATTAATCAAAATGACACCATATAATCAAAATTTCTCTTTTAGGCAATAAAATGTTTTTATCAAGTGTCAACCAAACCAAATGCCAAAAAACAAAAACAAAGACAAAAACATTTTTTCTGTGTAAAATTAATTTACAAGAAAAATATTTTTTTGTGTAATTTCACGTCGAAACAAAAGGAGCCCTAGTGTAACACATTTTACATCAAAACAAGTAAAATATTAGTCTATGAACCTGTTTGTTCAAAACTTTGTCGTCCAAAACATCCACATTACAGGCAAAAATGCTCCAAGTATAAACTTAATTACAAAAACTCCATAATTGAACACGTTAAGCCACAATTGCTATTGAACCTGGACATCACGATTATAATTTTTATGTAATGACAACTTTTTTTAGTCAAATTAGACCCAAAAAAATTGCTAATTTCTCAATTTTGACGATACTAAGAAAAAGATGCTTCAATAGAACGATCAAACAGACAATCTGAGACTAACACATTCAAATTCTCGATACAATCTACATGTATTTATAGAGAGAGAGAAATACCTGGAGGGGAGAGAATGATTCGTTGGGAAAAAGACAAGCAAATTGAAATTGATTGACGATCAGAAGAACTTCGAGTCCGACATCGAAACAGATCAGCAAAAAAAATTTAGCCCTAGGGGCCAAGGCCACTGTGTTTCTTTGTATCGTATCAATGGCTGGCTATATTAAAGCAATACGGTTCATGTACTGGACCGGACGGGTCTCAGTTTCGATTTGTGGGAAAAACTCGGCTATTCGAACGGTTTAACAGCCAAAAAAAGGACCGCTTCATGGTTACAGGAGTTTGATACCGGTTTAGCATATGTTGCTGACATGGTCCGTTGGCCCGCTCAGTTCAATTCTGTTTTTATAAAATTTGAGAATGCTGTTTTAGTTTATAAGATTGGATTACATCAATATTTTCAGTCTGAAATATTAGTGAATTGGATTTGGAATTTGGAATATGGATTTCTACATTCAATTTGGCTTGGACTCACTTGCTATTAAATTAATTAATTATTTTTTTATTTATAATACATTAATTTTTTGTTTTTTTTATCTAGATTTTATCTTTGCTAGTTTTTTGAAGTGATGTGTTAGAGAGGTGATGTGACTTAAATAAGATGATGTGACTTAAATAGGAAAGTGACTTTTTGACTTTTTGTCTTTTTTCAATCTTTTCAAATTAGGCCTTAGTTTATAAGATTGGATTACATCAATATTTTCAGTCTGAAATATTAGTGAATTGGATTTGGAATTTGGAATATGAACTTCTACATTCAATTTGGCTTGGACTCACTTGCTATTAAATTAATTAATTATTTTTTTATTTATAATACATTAATTTTTTGTTTTTTTTTTATCTAGATTTTATCTTTGCTAGTTTTATTATAACTCACATATGTGGTGATATTTGGTTGAATTTATTTAAGAAATTCTTCAATTTATATATAAATTTTTTTATAACTATAACGATATCAATATATTTATTTAAAATATATAATATGTAATTGAATTTAATTATAAAATGTTTTAATTTTTTTAACATATAGTCTGATTAGTGGACTTAGAATTTACAGAACTGCTACAGGGCCCAAACATTTCAAGCTCGAAATTGGCTCGAAACCCAAAACGACGTCGTTTTAGATTATCTTACCGGTAAGAGAATTGTAATATATCTTACCGGTAAGAGAATTTTATTACATGCTACCGGTAAGAGAATCCAAAACGACGTCGTTTTGGGTTTCGAACCAATTTCGAGCCAAACAATTTCGGGCCCTCAAACATTTTTCTAGAATTTATAATTATTTTGTGGACCGGACTTGAATAGATATAAAGGCCGGATGTTAGGGTTGGGCTAGGCCGAACTTATTAGGGGTAAGCATGGTTCGGATTGGACCGGATTTGGGTAAAACTATGACCAATCCGTTATCTACGATTCCTGAAAAATTGGAACCAATCCAATCCGTTTAAATCACGGAACCAATCCGAACCAATCCATTTAAATACGGATTGGATCGGTTTAGGACCACGGATTCACATAATTAAATAACAAAAAAATATATATAACACTTTAATTTCATAAACATAGCGCTATATTAATTCCACAATAGTAACATCTATTTCTATAATAGCGACATACTATGCTAGAATTTAAACAACCATAAGAAAACTGGTTTCACCATAAGTATTTAGACCATTACAAATCAAAACTAAAAACTAACAAACAAAAGTAATAAAAGAAGATATTATACGGTTTTAGGTTTGAGTTTAGATTTTATATAGATGTACGGGAAAGAAATACACCTTCTCGTATAATCCTGTTGACTAAGTCTGCGCTCCTCCGTACGACGTCACTTTATCACCTGAAAACACAAACGTGAGCTAGCCGGCGGGTGTGTGCCGGAAACCTCTCCGATGCCTAAGTCAGCAAACTTGACAAATAGACAAAGCTCTGTATATTCAGAAAGCAAAGTTGTGTGTTACCTCCTTCAAGGTGATGTTTGTGAGCTTTTATAAGTTTCGTGTGGCACAATCCTAGTAGGACTTCTACTCCTCCATGCAGAGTCCTCCTAGGATTCATACTCCTGAAAGATAATGCTTATCCTTCAACACCTTCCTCCCACTGCTTAAACCAAGTGGGATGGTTTTTACTATGGCCGAACTATGACATGATCGAAATAAAACTGGCTATGCTAAGCCACAACGTAGACCGAACTATTCTTAGTTCGGTTCCGCCTTTTACCCCATCCTTATCTCGGTTCTCTCACGTAGAAATCATGATGTGTTTAGACCGAGCTTCCGAGTAGCAAAGTTCCGACCGATCTATCAATAATACGTCGTGACCGGACTAACTCTGAGACCGGACTAACTCCAAGTTGCCTCCGGACCGGAATAGCTTTACATCATCTTGGGCCGGAGTAACTTTATATCATCTTGGGCCGGAGTAACTTTATCTCTCTTAGGCCGTTTTACCCAGTCTGTATTTTGGGCCACAAAGTCCATCTCACAGCTCGGCCCAATTTTCACCAAAAATTACCCTCTCAATTGTCCCTTAATTCCATCTGCACAGCATGATTGGGATTACCAGTCTACTAGCCGAGCTGGAGTTTTTAAGCTTTTCCAGCCGAGCTAAAAACCCTTTAGCCTCTCCAGCCGAGCTAAAAACTCTTAAGCCTTTTAAGCCGAGCTAATTTTACTCCGGGCTCTGTTTTGTCCGGTCAAAACGTCTCTTCAATCACGACTGTAACGCTTCCCTTTCCAATGACACGTGGCGGGCTCTAATAGGCTGGGGGCAGCTGTCACGCCGCCCTCGTACTACGAAATTTTTGAACAATCCCGCCCTTTTTGCCTTTCATCTTTTACACAAAACAACCCTTTCATTTTTGAATCATTTACTCTACTTCTTACTTCTTCTCTCCCTTGTTCCTGAGCCCTGAGTTTGAGCTTGCTGTGTTCGTGCCCTTCATTGCTGCCATTGCTTCCATCTTCTAGCTTCTTCATTTTTACTATGGTAAGCAAATCTAACCTTCTTGCTTTGTTTGTTTTCGTATTTTGCTTTCCATGTTTTTGCAAAACATATTCTTTCCATTTGCTTTGCCCTGTACTTTACTGGAAAAACTTTACAGAACTCATGCGTGTATGCAATATCCTGTAGAAGAATAGTATTTGATCCAAAAACTTGTCCTAACCGAACTAGGATACTGTTTGTGCCATATATGTAGATAAATTCAGACAATAACCGAACTAGAACTTGTAGGAATAACAGTAGTTTCAAAAAATAACCAACTTCTGATTTACTTTAGCCGAGATAAATTCATCGAACGAAGTTTGAACTTAGTAAACTAGAAACCTCGGCCTTCAACCGAGCTAAGCCTTTGGGGCTAAGCCAGCTTTCTCAGTTTTTAAACCAAACTTCAGAAAGCTGCCCCTAGAGGCTCAACCGAAGTAACAAAACCCATAGTGCAAACCGAGATAACCAACCTTATTCAAAAACCGATCTTGCGAACCATATGCTCAATCCGAGCTACCAAGTATTTCGCTGAACCGAGATACAACATCCCCCATAGGCCGAAGTAGGACTTTTTATCGTTGCTTTGATTTTGTAGCACGGTCTGCGATCTGTGCTTAACCCCTTTGTTTTCTACTTTGCAGACTTAGGTTGCCCAGGCACTCCTTTGTGCGCTCAACCGAGCTACTGAGCACATTCTTCCGACCGAACTAACTTATTAATAACTTATATATATGAATGGGGAAGTATAGGTTTTTGGTAGAGACCCCTGGTGGCATGGCCGAATTCCGAAGGGATTACGGCATTCCAGACGATGTACATCTTACCCTAGCCAAGCAAGATATCATACCATGGGGCAAAGCAGGCTTTGTACCTTTTACCCTACTTTCAATAATAAAGACCGGACTAAGGTTTCCAGTCCAGCCTTTAGTTTGTGAGTTTCTTAGGCAAACCAGACTATGCCCAACCCAGCTATCCACCAATACATACCGGATAATAATGGGTATAGCCGAACTAAACCGCCAAGCAGGCCTGAACCTCGGTCTAGCCAAAATCTTCCACCAGTACTCCATAGGTTCCAAAGACGATCGCTGGGTTTATTACCTTAGGATACACCGTCGTAGAGAGAAGATAATAAAAGATACGCCGAATAAGGATGTAAACGATGATGACTTTTTCTGGGTATCGGGCAATTTTGAAGATCAGCAAGCCCAAATCCCAGGCCGAAGTATAAACTGGAATAAAGGAGAACCTGGTATAGTTACTTCGGTTTTATGCATGCTTTTGTTTTACTTCGGTTTTATGCATGCTTTTGTTTTACTTCGGTTTCAGATGTCATAACCGATCTAACAGTTAACCTTTTTGCAGACTCAGCTCATCTCGCTTCCTTGTACAGTTACCCAAACCTGAACACACTTCGAGCCGCATTACGTTTTAAAGAAAGGAGTTGGGCTAAGCTTCTAAATTTTGAGCCGACCTACAGATATAGCGGTCGTCGAAAAGCCAGAGTGACCGATTTCCTTCTTGAAGAAGTACCAGAACCGGACCCAACCTTGCCCGAAATCAGACTAATCCCACTAACCGCCGAAGAAGAGATGGCAAAGAGAAGCAGAGTCAGGGCCCTTCTGACCGAAACAAATAGGCCCGAAGTACCGCCACCAAGCCAAACGCAGCCTGCCGTTGTGGCCCTCCCTTCTCAACAGCCTTCTTCATCTCGCCCCTCTAAACGCGCCCAATCTACACCGGCCGAACAACAACTTGTTGATGAGGACGAATCCATCCCTCCACCAAGTCCTCAACCTACCCTTCAACCGGAGCAATGTGACCGAGCGGACTCTTCCAAATGGGCTCCAAATCTCACTTTTCAAGACCGAAATATTCAAGAGACTGATTCGGTCGTTGCTGAGAAGGATCATTTAATGGCTTTCAATCTAGCCAAGAGTGTTTGCCTACCGAAGGATATGGAGTACCACAATAAGCAACTAAACACTAAGCTGAAGGCGATCTGGTCTTCTACAAAGTTAATGATCCTGGTAAGTAGTTCTGTCCGTTTTTCTGTCTAGTTTTTTCAACTTTTACTTCGGCTCAAGGGAGGTCTCTGTTTTGTCAGGCCATTCAGAAAAACAATATCACTTACAAGAAAGTGCTAGAGCTCCGAAAAACAACAAGGCAAGCCGTGGCGGAAGTCGAAGCGAAGACGGCCGAGCTAGAGGAGGCCAGGAAGCAA